TCTCATTGAAATATCACGCTTTTGTAATTTTGAAAAGTTTTTTCTCGTACTTTTGCGTTATGTTTATAATTGACCTTGACTATCATTAAAATCCTGAAATATATTTATTTAGCGAAAATTTTATATTTTATTAATAGTGTGGCCATTTCTGTAATCAACTGGCCACATCCATGGCCAGAAAAAAATTTGGTTGCCCACCCATGCACTAGCTGAATGATAAAATTTAAACTATACTCGGGCATAGAACCTACATTACGGATGAAACAAGACGTCTTCAACGTTCCTGGGTTCACAGATCGAACACCATCTTGTCTTGAAACTCAGAGCCCAGACAGACTCACTTCTTAAAAAGCTACAATTACTTGTGACGACGTGCCACGTTTAACATTTGATATTGTGTAGATATTTCAATAAATTGATCTATAGAAAAGTACTGCAATCACGAAATGCGGACAAAATTAAGTAAAAACACGTTTACCTGAATGTAGGCTAATGCTCTCATTCCAACTGTGATGGCGTACAAGCTATTACGGATAAAGTCAATGATATTCCACATATTTTGGAAATATTTCACTATTCCACTAGACCACAATTCCTTTGTTTCTTGCCATATGTGAGCTGGAAAAAAAAGGACAACAATGGATTAGTATACTTAATATTCTTAAAAAAATCTAACGTGAAAAAAAACTTTCGATACCATTGCGATATTCAGAAAACACGTCAGTACACAAAAATGTCCCTCCACCAGTGAATCACTTACAATGCTAAAACCCGAGGCTCGATTCTCCTCGGTGTATAAAGCGCAGATATCCCATTGTATATCTTTGCGCTAAAAGAACAACGACAGTTATAAAAAAAGATACATAAAAAAACAAGAAATCCGATAAGTTATTTTCATTCCCTGCACTGTTAAGATAAATTTTTTAATGGCAACATTAAACATATAAATTTAGATTTTTGGCTTAGGCCTAGTGATACTTCATCAAAAAATGATAAAATTGACAAATATTGTTTTCTTCTCTTGCCCTTGGTTTCAAATGAGGTGATAACACTAAAGAAACGTTACAATTTATTTTAACATTAAGGAGGCTGTAATGCTAATCTAGCAATGATTAAAAAGTTACTCAAGCATTTTTATCGTAAGGATCTTATTGCAAACGAAATATAGTACCAACGATATCAACTAGAAGTATGTTTTCTATACTGTGATATGGGCTTTTTATATTAAGCTGATATGAGACACAAAAACCAAAATTACGTGCCTTGCAGTGACGAAGACACCCGGTAATGGATGATGACATATAATAAATATATTTTTAAATTTTCATTGATGTTATTAGCATAAGATACCCGTGCTCCGCTGTGGGGTTCAAAGGCCCTCTTCTGATTCACAGAGGCCCCAGTGTACCAATCAAGCTCCTCCTTTAACCACAATTATTTTTTATAGTTACATCAAGGAGGTCCATACCCAATAAACCCGGTAAAGATCCAGAGAAGACGCTAGAACAAAAAAAAATCCGACCTAGATTCGGGTTCAACGACCCCAAACACCTATTTCTAGATCACTATCATGTTTTGGTGACCTTCCAAGCACCTTTTAGTCCCCCTTGGTTGATGACTACGCAATATAAATAAGAACACCCCCGGGCCATACCTAGTCCATTGGCAAGTTTTATCTTGCTAGCTCCAAATCTGTATTAGGAGTTCGCATATTAAAAAAAAAAAACATAAATAGACAACGTCAGTTATTATTGTATTTTTTGACATCTCCAAAACATTTTTATAGTTAAATATGACAATTTTAGTAATATAATACAGTATCAACAATGCATTTTATGCAAAATTAAACAATTTTTTGTAGCTCTTTCCTAATTAATTATTTAATTAGTTGCATCCCTGCCTCTCCCTTCCACATAACTCCATGGTAAGTCCAGGGACTTATAACCTTAAAACTCATGTTTCAATACCTGAGGTTGGTATAGCATAGATATCTCATTGTGTAGCTTTGTGCTTAACAACCAACAAACAAACTTTGCGTCCCAAATATTTATAATGTTAATTGGAGCCTTAGAAATTGTTAAAGAAGCAAAAAAATGTGATATATTTATACTTACAAAATCAGATTTAAAAAAAAGTTTTAGTTTTTCGAAAATGTTTGTCATAATCATTGTTTCTATAAAAATAGTAATTTCTTTTTATATTTGAGCTGGGCGTGGCCTACAATTTAGCGTATCAGACTGTTGTTTTAAGATCTATGGTTTGCGCTTTCTTGTCGCAAAAATCGCATTCTGTACGTTATGGCTATTGGTGCGCTATAACAATAGCCCCCCCCCCCAGTGGTGCAGCGGTATGTCTGCGGACTTACAACGCTAGAATCCGGGTTTCGATACCTGTGGTGGGCAGAGCACAAATAGCCCATTGTGTAGCTTTGTGCTTAATTACAAACAAACAAACAAGCTATAACAGTAACGATCAAATCCCATTATTCGATTAGAGTAACCCAAGAGCTGGTGGTAGGCATTGTTTACTAATTGCTTTTCTTTTAATCTATCAGTGCAAAATTATTGCCGACTTGAATAGCTTTGAGAGAATATCCGAAAAACACACCTTTATAATTTTATTCACATTATTTTAATATATGTGTGCCGGAAAATAAAATACGAAATCTATATTCTATGAAGAGTTTTGAGTACAACATTTAAAGCTCCGAAAAAACATACCAATTATGTAAATAACGATAAACCACTCTGTTACTGTGGGAGGCTGGCCTTTCTGTCTTCCTAAAGAATACCTTAATTCTGCCTTCATCTCTTCAGTTCCGAACAGCTGAACGATAACTGTCTCGATCCGCTGTGATGCCAGGATCAGTAGGACTAGATAAAATAATGAATAAGGATCTAGAACCAAAATTTAATACATCAAGAGGAAAATGATGTTATGAAGAAAATTAATGCCAGTATCATTAATATTACTTGCTTGCAGAGAAGGAATAAGTAAAAAGAATTGGAAACGTATGTTTGGTGTAGTTTTTTTTCGAGTAAAAAAGTGAATATAAAGTAGATTTTTCCGTAATATATGAATGAAAGATGAATTAAGTAAAAACGTAAAAGATTATAGACGCTGGGTTTTACAAATAGAGAAAAGAAATTATGTAAACATGGATTAAGTAAGTGCAACTGATTTCTACAAAAAAAAAAGTGCACAAATTAATGAAAGCTGATTTTTACTGAGAAATAAGTGTAAAGTCGCAGAAAAAAACAGTGTTTGTAGTCAAAGTCGTTGTTTTTCAGATAAAAAAAAACAGTATATCTGACGAGAAAGTCAAAACAGAAAAAATAATAGGTAATAAAAGGCGATATAATTGATTAATAATATTGTTATTTATAACAAATAAACAAAGATTTAATAACTGTCTTTAACTATTCCAGAAGGAAAATGAGAGACAGTTGAATCAGTCAGTACAAAAATCTAAGAAGTAAAAGAAATGGCAAATGACTGACGTTGATATATGCACAGAAATAAAAGGTAGATCTGATAAATAAATCGACAAGGAAGAATTTTATGATAATCGATACTGAACGTTTCATAAACATCGAAAATAAATTACAATTATGTTACCTACATAGAAAGAACAGGTAGGAGAAAGAGTGGATGATGAATTTGACAAAAGGTTTCCTCATCAGTTTGGCTGTTTCACTGCTCGGCATCAACATGTACATCATTGCATAGAAAGGAGTCAACACTCCGATGTTGATGATCTTCCAAAGTTGTTGGATGACGCTTTTCCTTCGGAAACCAGGCAATCCTTCATACCAAAGACTGCTTAACAGTTGTTGGACGTTTGGATGAGCAACAAACTGGAGATTAAAGATAACAAATCCTCTAAACATGTGACAGCGTTAACCAACAACTAATAATAAAAATAATGTTTTTTTATTATTATTATCACCTTAAAATTTGCTCAGTCCGGAGAAAACCACGACAACCATGTACTAACAATTGCCTTGGGTAATAAAATAGAAAGGAGTTAAACATTAAACATTCACCCAGCAAAGGTCTTCCCCTTTATCTTCGTATAAGAAAGATTAAGACAACCTTTTTACATTTAATATGTAAATAATATAATAATATGTATCGACATGAACAGTTTTCACATTGTTTAGTTCCTCCATCATGCATGTAAAATTAGAAGTTCAAATTGCAAACGAATAAAAACTAATTCCAATGTTGACACAAAAATTATTGTACATTTCATATGATTAATTCAACTTTTACAGAATTAACTCAAATTTAAAGACATATTTGCTATTTTAAATAGAGACATGTATAGTCGCTGTATTTAGTACGATCAGGTATCACAGCTCAAACGTAGATGTATTTAAAAAGTTTTATTTTTGAATATTAATTGGATTCAAGCATGCAAGGCGCAAGTATTGAAGTAAAATGCCCGAAAAGAAAACAATCTTGTAACAGTGTAACAGGTTGAAAGTTTCTTATGTCATTACTAAGCACAAGTTTCATGGAGTCCATTCTTTATTCTGGTTGATTGCATTGTTGTTTTATAATATGAATGAGTTTATGTATTCATACTGTCAAAGCATATTTTTTCTGCTTCTAGAACTTGTCTTAAAGTAATAGTGGACTAAGCTAGAAGTTTACAGTCAATCATTTCGAGTTCTACTATATAAATAAAGTACTTTACTCAATAATACCTCTTTTTTTTTAGCATTTAAATATTCTGCCCTACGAAACTAAATCTCGTGCCAGCTCAATTCTGTAATTCTTTATATTTGAATATACAAAAAGATTTCTGTTTGCAAGAGCTTTATAAAGAAAACAGTTTAGATATTCATTGTTAATGTTTGTTTGTTTATTGTTAAGTGTAAACTACATAATGGACTATCTGTGCTGTTCCCACCATAGATATCGAAACCCGGTTTTTAGCATTATAATTATTGTTAATAAACTGGATTGTTGAAATTAGAATATCTGAAGCTCGATGAAAAAGTACATATTAAGGAAATATTTGTTAATGTTTTTCTACTCATTGTACTAAATCAATAAATAGTTGTTATGAGGTGTTTAGTTATAATAGATTATTATTTGTTTCCAGATTGGGTTGTATGAAATGACGCTTCAAGCAAATCCACTGTGTCTAACATGTAAAGAGGTCACCAATTCCGCTTGTGAATGGTGATTTCAATAAAGGTCGTCGTGGAAATTTTAACAGTTACCCTTAGTTCATCATAGGGTTGTACATTCTATTGGGTTATTAACAAAACCTAAGATGTAATATGATTATATCACAAAAGCTACCTTTCTAGAGTGACAAAATATCGTTAGAGCCACATGAGAATCATAATATTTATCCAGAAAATCTTAAACATGGTTTCAGAATTTTCTTGTACTGCACACACAAACTGTCTTTCAAACTATTGCTGCTTTCATTTTTCTTTTTTCGTTCTCTTTCAACAATACGATATTTGTTATTCGAATAAAATATTTGTCAAAGTACAGAATCGTGCGATTGTTGTTCGACTGTGTTATCAAAATAACGGTAATTAAAAAAAGTAAATCCTAAGAAAACTAGACGTCCACTTCCCTACAAGAGCCCTAAGGATGTTAAAAAACATACACTCAATTCGTTGCAACTGGATCCGTAAAACATGTTTCTCGTTCTGAGCGACCAGCTTTACCTGTGGAGTAGTGGGGGTTACTCAGGATATTTAAGACCAAGATGACAAGAATTCTTTTGGAGCAGTAAGTGCAAAAGGCGTTTCTCGAGAACCTGCTTTGTAAAAAAATACACTTTGACAAAATAAAAGCAATACAAAAAACACAAAAGCTCAATGTTTGTCACTTTAGACGCCTAAATGCCATTAATGATGGTGATACACTATTAAAATTTGAATTTGCACATTGGGTTTCGGTTAAGTCAGTGATCGATGAAACGTGGCTAGAAAACATATTTTAGATATGCGAAGCCCACTTTCATCTTTATAGATAGATCACTTCACAAAATGATGTATTTTATGCTCATAAAAACTCACACGTAATGAATCCACGTGTGCGCAGAACAAGAAACAACACTGCTCTCCAGCTATTAAAAGCTCTGTACCAGATGAAAATCTAAAAAGAGTCTGGTTAAAAAAAAAACCAACCACTATATATATATGACGTTAGAGTTAATTTTCCCAGTGTACTTGTGACTCATCACATACATAGAAATAGGTAGAATAACATAAGGATCATGAGTATTTTTCTAGTGAAGTTGTGTTTTTCTGTCTGTAGTGTGTACCAAATAAATAAATATTATTTCCGTATTTCTACAAACTTGTGGCCAGTCTTTCTTCTTCAAGACAGTCGCATTAGAAATTTAGATGAACTCTGTAAGACTTAATCCGTCGAACCTCTGGTTAGAACAATTACTATTCTTCCTTGAAGGTTATCACTGTACCTCAGAATGCCACATACGTTGAGGCTTCATTAATCCTTATTTCTTTGAAGTTGTTTGTGAAAATGGCTGTGTTTAATGCGTTTCGGTTAAAATTGCGAAAATGCTAAAAGGCCACATTATTCCTCGCCTGAAGGAGTGAACCATTGAGAACACCTTTCAACATAGCAGGGCAACCCTTCATATTTATAATACCGTTAAATAGACACTTTCAGTGAATAAAGAATCATAAAATGATCATTCAGTTAGAACTGCTAGCGAGATTATCGGATATTGTATTAGCAAATTTTTGGCTGTGTGGATTTCTCTAAAGGAATGTCCGTCGTAATAGCGTAAGATATTTGGAAGATCTGAAAACGATCATTAGAAATGAATTTGCGATTACCAATGAACACGTCCCACAACAGAAGATGTTTGCAGATACTTCATTCAGGGATAGGCTTGATATAATGATTTAGAATATCGGAAAACATTTCGAACATCTTCTGTGACAATTTTTGAAGAACGTCCAAAGTTTCCTGAAAAAAGACCTATGATTCTCACTATGCCTCTGGCGAATTTTAGTTCTCCTTGGAAATGTAGTGTTTTAGACGCAATTATTTTAGATATGAAAATGTTTCCTTTATGACCACCTTGATATTTCTTCGATCTCCCTAAACTCAGCTGTTCTTATGATTCCTGAATGTGTGAAAATCTACGAATTAGCATGTTTGCATACCTTTAACATCTGAACTTTGCTAGAAAATCTGTTTCTACTATGTGTTCTTGCAAATATGACCAGATCAAACTTGAAGTGAGTAACGCCGTAACATGGAACCCCTATAAACTCTTTTATCAAATAGGTAATAGAAGATGACATTGAGGCTAATACTTATATGACCTGCTCAACTAACTCAGTATATTTCCAACAAAACATTAGAACCATAGGAGATCTTGGGGTATAAATGTTGCTGTAAACACAAGTAAGGTTATAAGAAGTCGGACATAAACGTCAATTTTACATAACTGTAAGACAGTGTAATTCGGAAAAAAACGTAAATTTTACATAAGTGTAAGACGATGAAATTCGGACAAAAACGTAAATTTTACATAACTGTAAGACAGTGTAATTCGGACAAAAATAAAAAGAAGTATAATATATCGAACATTATTAAAAAGAGTAAGTGTACTTTCTTGAATCTACCTGAGCATATATATATATACGTACATATATGTTTGTATATGCATACGTATACGTGTGTAAACAGACACACAAACACAGTATAAAATAAGACATCTTTTAAGCGTTCTGGTTGCATAATTTTCAATTAACTTTATCTAAATCAACCTTACTTTTAATTATCAAGAAATTATACAGTGAAAATGTAAATTATCTACGAGATTTTGAATCTCATTAAAATTTGGAATACCTTTTTCTGTTTGTAATTTACAGCCATTTCAACTCTGGCCAATGACATCTGTTCTCCATGTTCGTAAGGTGGCTTCGTTGGATCATGATTCAATACAATTTCCAACTCATTGGATGTTCTCACGTGGTCCAATAGAGAAGTTGAAAAATTCTGACAACATCTTTTGAGAGACTGAGGGTCACAAAATAGTACAATTTCAATTTAAAAGTATGGTTTATTATTACTATGTATATATTATATTATAATTCAGTAATCTAATGGGAAAATGCTGTTCAACAATCATAAAAATATAGCTACTTACTTGTATTATTTTTTTGGCACTTTTTTATGAAAATAAATTAAATACTTATAAATTTTATAGTATACCGAATAAGGTATTTTTTATCATTGGTCACAAATAATACTGTGTGCTCATTTAACCTTTTGAATTTTAAACGATAAGGGCAAGATTAATTTAACAAAATAAAAATACCTGATAATCTTCTTTAAATTCATTTTCGATGTAACTTAGGCGATTCAGCTCATAACTTAGTTCAAAAGATGTCAAAATTGGGTCAACACTTGACAAGCAGACAAGTGATGGAGACGAAAGAGCTCGATAAGCATTGATACGCGAGCGAGAATGTCGAAGACAGTCATCACGAGCAGCTGCTACACACTCTCCACAACCGCAGCGCATGTCGTGAGGTATTGGTAAGGTGGCGCCACGATCGAGCAAAAGTTTCAAAATCTCGTAGTTGTCTTTGTGGGCTGCAAGAATCAGAGGCGTAATTTCTGGTGTGAACGTTGCAGTGTCCTGACTCACTCGCTCCCAACTCTGAAAATATATAAGAATCAGTTGGAAAATAAAGTAAAATAATTGCTGCATAGATAAAAACGTTCGAGAATTGTCTCCGCTGTATAAAAGTTGCAATCAAACCAAATCATGTGGCGCCGTCTCGTAGGTATAAGTCACACTTATATTTTTTACTTTTGGCTTCAAGTTGAGACAAGTAAACACAGATGTCATCTTTAAATGTTTCCGGCATTTTTTAATCATTTAACTTATTACTTTGTAAATTATATTTCCACGATCTTAGTTTTCAGTAAATGGCGTGTTTGAAATTGATCTTTTCCCCTTTTAAGATTAATTATTAAATACAAAGTTCAGCTCTTGTAAGCCTGTATTGGAAATGTGGTAAGTTTATACAAAAAGAAATATAAACCTGTTTACATGACAAAGCCTAAACATTGTAACGGAAACATCGAATCACCTGAAAAACTAATAAGTTTTTATGTATAAAGATATCTAGTGTGTTATAGATGACTCTCTTTTGTAGCAAATGTTCAGCACGAAAAAAAACATTGTCTTAATAAGCCAGATCTATCGCGAAATTTGAGAAATGGACTGTTTAAGGTTTTTAAATAAAGGTTTATTGTGAAATATGTAATAAACAAAAGGCCCTTACATATGGCTCTCCTTCTTTGTGGATGAATTCCTCGTATTCCAGTAATAGTTCTACGGCTTCTACATATTCCACGTTTATAGCATGTAATAAAGCATCATTCGTCTGAACACCTTCGATCACAAGTAGTTCTAGCATGTCCAAGTTTTCATTGTCAATAGCCATAAGCATAGCTGATCTTCCCAAAGGATCAATACAATTAGCATCTAATGAGGACGAATTTACTTCTTTATCCCTTTCCAAGATCCTAAGTTAAGTGAAATAATATGCCAAGCGTATGAAATATTAGTCTAAATAACGTAAATAGTAAAGATGCCATTTATGATATAAGTATTAACTTTACATTAGTAGTATTGTGATCTAGATTTACAGCTAAAAAGTAAGTCAATGGAACTCCATATTTCACTCAGATGAATTCTAATCGTAAAGACATAAATCAGAAAAAAAGGAATGCTTAAAGGAGAAATATATATATATATGTGGGTGAGTGTGTGGTCAACGGTTCGACCAAATGACCAGCATCAGTCCTATAGTACTGATGTTATTCAACACTAATCACAACGAATTAAAAGGTTAATATTTTCAATTGTTTCAATTTTAAGATAAGAAAGACACAGTACATAAGAAGAAATTATTACCTCTCACTAACTCTTCATTTGAAAAAAATGTAAGAAACACTGAAAGAAAACCAAGTTCTAAGCTTTCTGAAAAAAAAATGTGCCTTTGTTAGCGTCTTTTCAAAAACATTTAATTCAACTTAGCTCACAGATCAAGCAAGCCTTTGTTCTGTAAGTTGTAAGTTATATTAAAGAGGTATTCATAATAACTTGCTGGTTTACTTCAAACCAAAAATTCACACTTTATAATTTCACACATACTTTATTCACAAAACATTTATCAAACCCTCTCAGTAAAATAAATATTAGTTTAAATTATTATAATCTAAATACTTAATTCATCGGCTAGAAAACTGTTAAATAATTATTATCTTACCTTTGTAAATTAAGTTAATCGTTTACCTTTAAGGTATGTTTACTCACCTTCGAACCGTAGCCAAATCACCACGTTCTACAGCGAGTAAGTATCGTTTTTCTAGAGGAGGGAGTTTTCTCTGAGATGGATGGGTGTTAGAAATACCACCAACTAATTCAGAAAACTTGTTACCGTCATCCATTTTTTTTTGTTTCGTCAGACGGCTTAGTGATGATTATTTTTTACTCACTTGATGCCACGGAAAAACCGTTTCTATAAAAACAACAAGATCACATTGGTATCATAGTCCCTGAAGACAATACTGTGTATTTTTAAAAGATTTATCGAAGTACGCAATTCTCTAAGGTGACTGAATTACAAAAACGTATTACTCTAAGAACCGTATCCGTGTCGGCAAAAATTTTGAAAGTTACTAACTTGATTCATTTCTATCATTGTACTCTACGTGACAATATTTTATTGGTTAAAGTCTATGTCAGTTGAGTAACAATCTGAGTTATGTTTGTTTTTTTAAATACATTTTACGTGGAGAATATTTTTGTGGAAATATTTTAAACAATAAGGGTTTCAACGCTTTAGCCCAGATTAGTTGTGATTTGGTAAGACCAAAATTTGACATCTGGGATAAGGTTCATTTATGGAGAGATTTGCTTTTTTCTTATCATGTTACAAATATTTTAGCTTTGGAATTAGCAATATCATTCACGCGTTATAATTGTTGGTTTTTTTCTGCTGGTATCATGATGAGACTGATCTAAGTGGATTAATAAAATCAACATTTAATTAAAAGGGTAAGAACAGAGGATTTGAAACATAAAGAAATAAATAAAACGCTAACAACTAATTCTGAAGCCATAAGAGAAATATTTCTTCAGGAATAATGCAACATGGCTTCTACGTTTTGCATACATAGACTTCGGCAAAATGGGGTTTAGATGCCGACCCCATGAAGCCAGATAAATACGTTCTTGTAAATATGTAAGGAATACCTTTAGATTGTAAAGTCTTAGGATATCAGCGTCATTGTGTAATGCATTGCAAGTAAGAATAGTTAGTTTTAACATGACAATTTGAAATATTCATGGACAGTTTTATAATAACTTTCTGTAGATTTTTTAAAAATTTTATTAGAGTAAATGTTATTAGATTAAATGAGTTCTTTTTATATATAGAGTTTTGTAACTTGTTAAGTATATTCCAAAAAAAACGTAAAAACTGTTGACACAAATATTTAATAGCATCTGAAGATTTCAATAAATTTTGCTGTTTCTGGCAATCGTTTTGTTACAACTAGTTATCAGCAACTTCTCAATACATATGAAACAAGTTATTGTTAGTGCTATTTGTGAATTTTTCAAGTACTTTTAACTCACTAACATTATAACAAGCCTAACTGTATTTCTGTGGCTTGCTGATCCAAGCTGTGCTGATGAGCCTTGAAAAGGCGAAACTACGATCCACAGGAGAGAGCAGGGTAAATCAAAAATATATTAGGCCTCTACGTCACTGATATTCCCAATCTAATTTTGGTGAAATGAAATCTGTAATATAATTAACTATCAAAAAGTTACTGATCTTAATACTCAGGCTCTCCGAACACATTCTAAGTACTGTTGAAATTAAAAAGCCATCACCATGTATGAAGATTGCTCAAAAAAGATTGCAAAGTAAAACCAGTTAAAAAGTAAATACACATAATGAAAATCACATAAAATTTGATTAAGTTTCTAATAGAGTTGATGAAACAGTCATGAACATTATAATGAAAATAAACTAATACTGCTTTAACTGGTCTGTACAATTAAACCATACTCGTTATGCAAAGTCTTCCTTCGTAAACTAAAATTTTGGTCATATCTGATATCAGGAGTACAATACGGGTGAGACCTAAGGTCATCAGAAACTTTCTTTATCCTCCTTATCTAAGTACAAAAGTAATATAAATATCCTTCAAGATCTCAAAAATAAATAAATATGTGGCTGAAGTTGATGAACGTGAGTCAACCAATGATGAGATAATGAGGTATTCGTCATTAACTAACGTTATCTTGCAACAGAGGCCTTTATACAACTTACAATAATCGTTTTGGTGTACCTATTTAAGAAATAGTTCTCATACAACAGTAGAGCCTTTATGTTTAAAATGTTTTAGTTACAAATAACACGACATTTGAGATTAGAAGGCCATAACATCAAGCATGCCTCTCTTTTACGAATAT